GGCAACATCAAACAATCAAACATACACGTGACTAGAATCTCCAAAGGAGAAAAGAGATAGAATAGAGAAGATAAAGTATTTGAAAAGATATTACCTAAACATTTTCCAAAACTAGTTGAAAAAAAAAAAACCAAAAACCTACACAATATATGGAACAAAGATGCTCAGTGAATCCAAACAAGGTAACACAAAGAAAACCACATGTAGGTACACTGCAATCAAACCAATAAAAATCAAATATAGAAAGAAACTCCCAAAATGCTAGAGAAAAGACATGTTACATTCAGGGAAGTAGCCAATAACTATGATGGCTGATTTATCATCAATCAACAGAAGTCAGCAGATAATAGAATAACATCTTTAAAGTGCTAAAAGAGAAAACTATTGATCTAAAATTCTCTTCCAGCCAAAATACACTTTAAAAAGTGAAAGCAAAAATAACTATTTTAGACAGACAAAAGACTATTTGCTGTCAGCAGATCTTCACTTCAACACTAAATCAACTTCTTAAGACTGAAGAGAAATCAAAACCACATGGAAACTCAGATCTGCAGGAAGAAATAAAGAGCACCAGTGAAACTCAAACCGAAATTCCAGTTGTTAAGGATAACTGGGAGTTAACCAGGCACAGGTTAGGAGATAGAGGGCAAAGTGTCGGAAAACACAGGAAACAGCTTGTGCAAAGGGACCAAGGAAAGTAAAGGAATGGTACTTTCTAGGAACTAGAAGACAGGTCAATGGGGATAGAGTGAAAAAAAAAAAAAAAAGGAGCCTGGAGAATGGTGTCTGAAGCCACTAAAGATCCAGTAGGAGCCAAGCCATGAAGGATATTACAGGCTAGTTTTCTACTACCTGGTAGGCTAATTTTCAAATCTGAATCAGCAGATTCAGCTCCACCTAAGATTAGCACAATCTCTTTTAGGGTACTCAAAATCAGTGCCAATCTTTGAGTCTCTCAGGAGTTTTGGAGTTATACACCATTCAATATAAACAGTATACCTTACACATATGTATTATTTTCTAAATTAATGTAAAAACATTAATCATGTCACTCTTCTGCTTATAACCCTCAACTGGCCTTTCATTTGCTCTAATTAAACTTTACAATGACCTACAAGGATTACAGAATCTGTTTCTCCTCCTTAAATTATAGTTAATAACATTAAGTACAATTATGTACTTCACTCTGTTTCAGTTACCATTACAATTCTAATTCTAATCACATTTAATTTACCTTTTCTTTAGAAGAACGTGATGTCTAAACATGTTTAAATACATTAAGTAGCTGAAAAGGAACTCTGATGGTGTAGAGCTTAAGACATCTGACTGCTAACCAGAAGGCTAGCTGTTCAAACCTACCAGCCATTTCTCAGAAGGAAGATTAGGCAATCTACTTCCATAGTGATTGTGGTGTAGT